ACAGCCGTATTGGGGGCGGCGACTTCCGCGCACTGACGTCCGCGGTCGCTGCTGGCCGCGAGGCGCTCAGGGCAAGCTCGCTTCGCCTCCACGCGCTCCTGCTTCGCCCTACGCGGTCCCACCCGGGTAGCCCCTCGCTCCCACCGCAGCTTGTGGCCAAGCCAGTCGTCCCACCCGCGACGGGAGAAGATTTCAGGTTCTCCCCGAGATCCCCGGGGTCCAAAGACCGGAAGGAATTACTGTAAAAACCCCAACCACACCTCTACAAGACCAGATCATTGGTTACCTGGGCAACGGCCGCAGTCCCGCGAGACCTCGAGGAGTCCCCAGGAGACTTCGAACAGACCTCGCGAGACTTAGGGCAGCCTTTGAGACTAATCAAAGGACTTACGTAGGGTTTTGGATTTAGGAAGGGAGGTCCCAGAGGGTGACAGAATTTGAGGTAGAGCTGCCGGTTGGGTAGAGAGAATCCCGGAGGTTAGGACGTGGGGGGCTGCAGGAGGCTACGGGCGTGGGGACGGCGAGCTGTTTGAGAAAAGCCGGCGGAACGTACTGGTCAAGAACTTGTGCCTTGGAGCTCTCCTGACCTTAATATCCTGAATATGGACAAGTTCGTTTTGTAGATTAAAATTTCTTCTTCCGTGAAATGGATATAATAATTGCACCGATTTGTTAGAAGATTAAATTGAAAATGTGGAGGTCTTATGTGCACACAGTGAATTCCATTTTGCACAATTGTGACTAATGATCTTTATTCTGGAAAATGACTTCTCTTTAAATACTTGATTTGCAGGAATCATGAACATACTAGTGTGCACTCTTAAAAATTCTTATCAGCTCCTAGATTCCTTAAATATAATCGTTTAACATTGAACATTTGACTTCTGTGGCACAATAGATCATTTATATGTAGTGTGTCATCTAATTAAATCTGATCTTGCCATAACACTATTATTTGTGCACATTCTACTTTGATTTTTTTCTCATATTTAGTTCTGGTGATAATTTAATTGGTATTTCAAACAGGGTCTTGCTATGTAGTTCATTCAGGCTGGCTTTGAACTCTTTATGTGGTCCAGGTTGGCCTTGAACTTGTGGTGCTCCTCCTGCCTAAGTCTCCCCAGTGCTGGGATTACAGGCCTGCACCATTATCCATGGCTTGGAGGATAATTGAACGTATATATGGAAGTTTTCCAAGTAGAGTTGGAAAAAAAGAATGCATAGATGTTTGGAACCCATACAAATCATACCATGGGGTTTGTGATATTTAAGAAATGCAAGTAATGTTCTGTAGCAAATTTGATAGTCAAAGAGAAGGCAAAGCATTATGGTATAAACATGGAAATGGGTTAACGTTTTTTTTCAGATTTTTGAAGTTTTTGAAATTAACAAGATTTTTTATTTTTAACAAAAATTTGGAAGTTTGGAACTTCCAGATTAGACCTTAGCCTGAGAAAATAAAACATTTTAGATTAAGCCCTTCTGAAAATTAGTCTTCATCGTATCGTGCCGTACAAACATCACTAAAGGTGACATGTGCAGAGTTTTTCCTAGGATATGGATGTGGTTTGTGTCTCCCTCACCCCAGGTTCCTCTGTTGAAATTTAATATTAACTGGGAGATTTTAAGAGGTATTCAGAGGTGAGCCTTTGGGAAGTGATTAAGGCTATGTAAAGTCATCCAGGTGTAACCCACATGATTGAATACTCGAGGCTGTACAGGAAGAGGAAGACCAGAGGACACACACACACACACTCACACACATTTTGTGTGTCACAGGATGCTTTGCACCCTATTGGACTCTGCCAGCAAGAAGGCCATCACCAGAAGATGTGGTCCCTTGAGCTTGTACCTGCAGAGTCATGAACCAAACTAAACCTCTTAAGCACACCTGGTTTGTGGTATTATGCACTTGGCAATGGAAAATAGACTAAGGCAATATTTTTATATGGAGTCTTTTTCTGTTGGACTTTAGTCTGGTTAGTCTGGTTACAGCCATAGGAGATCAGATACGTAAGTGAAGCTCCTAGAAATGATCTAATTGGTTATAGAAGAAGTAAATGATAAGCTAGGATTTAGTCTCACTTTTAGTCCAAATATTTACATTATATGTCAAAAATCTTTTTAGAGAAAAGTTGTCTTACTGTATAATAAAACTACTTTGGTATTTAAAACTTCAGAAATCACATGCATTCATTATTTCATTACTTCAGTTAATCTTATTGAATGCTTATTACATGTCAGGGACTGTTCCCAGTGTAAGGCTATTATAAGGAACAAAACATTCTTTATGGAGCTTATGTTCTATTAGAAGAAAACACACAAACCAATAATAACAGTCAAAACCGGGGTTAGGGTTATAATTAGGGTTAGATGATGATAATTATTGTGGAAGGAAATAAATCTGGGAAAAATAGAGCACAGGGAGTGCTGGTGTGTGGGTCTTGGTAGGGTAGCTCTTTGTAGATGGAGTGGCCAGAAGTTTTGTGAATTAGACCAGACAGTACTGTGTAGCTAAACCTTAGCTGGAGTCAGTATCATTTTAAAGAAAGATTTCCTAAGGACTTCTCTCTTCTCCGGGTAAATTTAAGGTGATTTTCTTAAGCATCTAGTTTTTTTTTTTGGTACTGGGGATCAAACTCAGGCCCTTGTGCTTACAAGGCAGGTGGCAGAACCACTAAGCCAAATCCCCAGCCCAGCACCTAATTCTTTTTAACTTTTAAAAATTAAGAAAAAAATTGAGAGTATTTCCAAACGGTATTATGTACTGGAAATGAAATTCTTTATCTCTAAGTCAAAGTAGAAGTGACAACTGGAGTGAACTTTTAACAAAAATTTTCTATCAATCAGTCTGTTTTTATTATTCTTCCCTAGGTGAAGGCTCCCCCCCACCGAGGGTGTATTAGCTATGTTCCATAACATTTTAGCTGATTTAGCCAACTACAACAGTTTCATTTTCATATTTAAGATTTCATTCCAGTATTTGATGTTTAGATTTAGTATTAAAAAATTTATTTTAATTTCATTTTCAAACTTGATTCAAAGCTCCCTTCTCCCTACCTCTTAGAGCAGCCTAGATCTGTTCCAAGTTCTGGTGACTTGGAGATGAGGGGGAGTTTGGAGTTTTCTTTGTACACTTATCTATCCCTTTTTCTTTGTAAATCCTGGCTCCTTGCTGTGTTAGGATGCGGATGGGCCAGAATGTCAAAAGGGAAGAGGTTTCCATAACTGACCAAGTCACCAGACACATGGTATTCTTGCTCTATCTGTGGACTTCAAGAAGAGAACAGTGGCTCCAACCTGCCGTGTAAAAAGGACTCTCTTCAAATCACTGTCCCAGACAAGGATCCATCCCTATGACAGAACTGGGTGTATAGTGGTTAAGTGGGGACTTTGTAGCTGACTGTAGGCATCAGATACTCTGCCACTTAACAGCTCTGGTTTTTAATGTTCCCTATGCCTCAGTTAATTTACAAGGAAATCAGGGATAATAATGTAGTACCTGAAGGAGTCCAACTGCCACCCTCCTAGGCTGACCTGTATCAATCTGAGTCCACCCTACCCGCCCCAAACACAGCTGCCCTCAGTGATTCACACCCTTATTCAGCCTTGCTATGATAACAACTCTTTATCAGCCTGCACTGATAGCAACCACTACTCCATGCGTATCCCCAATCCTTGTCCTTGGGCGAGATCCTTGCAAGTAGCCACAACCTCCTTTTACTAAACTGTCCCACATGACCCTATAAAACACCCCATCAGTCTGTACGAGGGATCCGGTCTGGTATCTGCCAGAGCAGTCCCTCTCAGTTTTGTTCTGAAATAAACCTTCCCTGTTGAGCTCTTAACTCTGTTTCTTTTCCTCCTTTTTACCTAATAGTACCTATCTAGCGGGGTTATTCTGAGGATTAAATGAATGAGCAATATGCAGAGTTCTAAGCACTTACATACTATCCTTTCACATGATGTGAGCGGGCAGGTCAGAACTGTCCCTCCCCTATTGAGCACTTTCATTTTCACATTAGCATCATATGAGACTTTGTTAGGAGATAAATTCTCAGGCCCCACCCAGACCTATAGAATCAGAAAGGAGTGAGATGTGCTCCCCAGGGTATCCTGAACACTCAATGGATCAGAACATTGAATGAACTTTGGAATGAGTATGAACTTTTGTGAGCTATGATGGACTGGTAGGGCTGTTGTGAGGTTGAAGACAGTTGATACACACAAAGTGTAAGGTCCCAGTAAATATTCTCATTCTGTTGTTTACAGTGAGAACTTTTGAAGCACACATTCTCCAGAGGGAGCTGAGTGAGAGAGTCTGCTTCTCAAAGTGTCTCCAAAGCAGCTGCCACAATGCACCGCTCAGGAGCCTGGTGGAAAGGCAAACTCTCAAGCCCTGCCCAGGCCTAGGTAGGAGCGTCTATGTTTTTCCCTTTGAGGAACAAAGAAACTTTATAAATTCAGTCCCATACCTACAGATCCAACTCTCTTGGGAGTGGAACCTGCATATTTACATAACTAACGAGGCCCAGTGTTGATTCTATTGTTGACCAAGGATTGAAAAGCCCTAGTGAACTCAGAACAACCATTTTCTGTCACGTGGAAAAATCCTCCAAGTACCTGTGTTATTCATGTGGGCAGACGCTAGTCATACAAAAGATGGTATTTATTCTAAGAAATGCAGGTTTGCATAGAACACTGCTGGATAAGATTGAAAATGAGTTAATTTGATCCTGCCTTCTGTGTGATTATAGTCTTTTTGCATAATTTTAGCATATTTGATAAAGCATTATTAAATAAGCCCCCTTATGTAGGTAGAAATGATGAACTGAGCTTTCTAAAACTACTTTAATGGAACATTTTTTTGAAATCATATTCTAAGATAGCCATCATCACTAAAGGGCATGCCATGGCAAAATTCTGCTACTGAATCTGAG